GCGCGCGCAGCCTGGTCTTCTCCATCCTGCTGGCGCGCAACCAGCTGGTGGCGCTCGTGCGCCGCAAGGACCAGTTCCTGCACCCCATCGACCTGCACCTGCTCTTCAACCTCATCAGCTCCTCCTCGTCCTTCCGCGAAGGCGAGGCCTGGACACCCGTGTGCCTGCCCAAGTTCAACGCCGCCGGCTTCTTCCACGCGCACATCTCTTACCTGGAGCCGGACACCGACCTGTGCCTGCTGCTCGTCTCCACCGACCGCGAGGACTTCTTTGCGGTCTCTGACTGCCGCCGCCGCTTTCAGGAGCGCCTGCGGAAGCGTGGGGCCCACGCGGCGCTGCGGGAGGCACTGCGCACACCCTACTACAGTGTTGCCCAAGTGGGCATCCCCGACCTGCGCCATTTCCTCTATAAGTCAAAGAGCTCAGGACTCTTCACCAGGTGAGGGAGGGTCTGGGGGACACTGCTTGAGGGAGACAGGATTGGGGGAGCTGGTTGGGCCTGAGCCCTGATGCGGTGCTGAAGCTGACGACCCCTCTGGGAACAGACGGAGACTGGGTCCGTGTTACTATGATACAGGGACCCAGACTCCCTATCACCCTACTCTGCGCGGGCATACACCTCTCTACTTTATTACCCAGACAGCCTGGAAATGCCCAATACACCCAGAGAAGGAATTTGGAACAGATGTCTCTAGGGTCCTGCCCTGGGGTCACTTTGGTCCAGCCCAGGATGTGGAACTTCTCCCCTCTTCCAACAGAGGGTCTGGGACCAGATGTGGCAGCTTCTGTCTCCCTTTTCCCCCCTTTTGGGTCCAGAGAGTTCCCATCTCCCCTCCCTTCCACTTCAGACCTGTTGCTCTGTCTTGGACACCTAAACTCAGATTGGCCTCTCTAAGGGAAGGTCACCAAAGATGCCATGAACTTGGTGGAGGGAGAACAGGCCTCCAGTCTGGGTGGGCCCAGCTCTTCATGGGGAGTCTTCTGTGCTGGGGGGACAATGCCTTGTCCTGGGAGAGCATTTGTAGCCTAAGACACATGGCAGAGTCACCCTAGCTAGGAATAGGTGTTTCTAGATCTCCAGGGAAGGCAATGAAAGCCATGCCTTTGCAAATCCACCCCCCACCTCCAGCCCTGAGATTGAGGCCCCGTACTCCAGTGAAGAGGAGCGAGAGCGGCTGCTGGGCCTCTACCAGTACCTGCACAGCCGAGCCCACAATGCCTCCCGCCCGCTCAAGACCATATACTACACAGGCCCCAACGAGAACCTCCTGGCCTGGGTAAGAAGGTCCTGGGATGAGCTGGGCTTCCTCAGGGTCCTGGCAGGGGCCACGAGGGATATCTAATCTGTATGATCACCCTGTGCCCCCTCCTTCAGGTGACAGGTGGCTTTGAGCTCTACATGTGCTACAGCCCTCTGGGGACCAAGGCGTCTGCCGTCGATGCCATCCATAAGCTAATGCGCTGGATCCGCAAGGAAGAAGACCGCCTCTTTATCCTGACGCCCCTCACATACTGATGTGAATGTGTGTGGGCTCAGCCCTCCTAATCCCACTGGGCCATGGAAGCCACGGGAACCTGCAGGTGGGGCTGGCCCTCTCTCTTGCCCAGGCAGCAGGCAGGGACGGTGGGTTGGTGCGTCCATTAAAGTGCTTTGGGGAGACACTCGCCTGGCCCTGTCACTGGTTCTTTGCTCACCCACCTCACTCACATACAGACACTGGGTCCTCCTCCCTAGCCCCTGCCATGCTTCCCACACGGGCACGTGCATACTTGGGCCCCTAGACCTCCTCCCTCGCATGGCATCAGGCCACGTGAGCTCAGAGTTGGACCCTGGGCTTGAGCTGTTTCCATTCAACGGAAGTCCTACCACATGTAAAGGTTTCTCTAGCACCCCACTGGTTTTTCCCCCATAGCTCCACCCCCATACTCAGTCTGAGTCCCTTGATGCCTCCCCAAAGGACCACCTAATCACCCCGGGAGCCCTGGCTGTGGCTCTGCCCAAAGGGCTGCTGCAGCTCAGCAGGGGCAGAGCTCAGTAAGATGGGGACAGTCACGTGGGGAGAGTCTGAGCCCTGGTACAGCTGGGAGCCCCAGAAGGCTCAGCAGCGAAGGCCCAGCCTTATTCACTCCATCATGAGACCCTCTATGGGCAGAGCTCAAGGCACAGTGCAGAAAGCCTCTCCCTTGCTGCCAAGGGGGCTCTCCTCGTTTTGCCACAACTTACCCATCTCATTGGCAGAGGGGTGGAAAGACCTAGGAAGTATTTTATCAGAGAACAGTGTCCACTGGATATGGTCTTCAGACTTAACAATGAGTCATGCTCATGCAGTCTGAGAGCTAGGCCAAGAGACTCTGCGCTAAAACCAACCCATGTTGGAGAACGTGTCTGTGTGGGTGGCCTGGGCCAAGGGTGCACTGGAATGGTTCTACTTAACTGTCCCAGGAAATGGCAGCATAGCCACTGTCCTTGGCCCCTCCCTGGTCACATTAGAATGAGTGTGGCAGCAGGCCATCTGCCTAGACCCCCAAGGCCCTCAGGAGCAGCCATAGGCTTTGTGGGTGCTGCTTACCCTGCACACCTGCCTTGGGCCTCTTTTCTGCCTGTTTCCTGCTTCTGTTCTTCCCCTTGCTGGCCAAGGCTCCAAACCACTGCCTCAGGGGCCAGGGTGGTGCCAGGCCAGCTGTCCATGACTTACTGGTGTTTTGGTCAGTGGTCAGCCCCGAGGTACCCCTGTTGGCTGTCCTGATCCCTGTAGGGCACTCAGCTCCTCTGCAGTTCAGCACCTACTCTGAGCAGTTACGAGAAGGGGTAGTCACAATTAGATAAATGTGTGTATCTAGGACAGTAGGCACCTAGGAGTGTGGGGGTTATCTGGAGAAGGGGTAACAGGCAAGCAGGGAAGGTGTTCCTAGTGGAGGAACCAGCACGTGCAAAGGGAAGGACCTGGTAAAGAACCTGGTATAACTGGTTTACAGGGAAGCTGGAGGAGTCTTCAAGGCCTAGGGTTCTCAAACTTCAGGTAAAAGTCCGGCAGTGGGGAGCCACTGAATGTGTTAAAGCTGCAGAGTGGTGGGGTTCTCTTGTGGTTAAAGAGGTCCTCCTGCTGCCACTCAGATGATCTCTTTGGGTTAGAGAAAGAAGTTGGCACTAGTTCGCTGGAGTATTGTTCAGAGGGGAGTGAGAGCCCAAAGAAGGCAAAATGGTTAGCACTCCTTCAAGGTGACAGATGCCACGGCAGTTGGACAGGTCATAAGCCAAATAGAGGCCAGGCTTTGTGAGTTCATCTTGGGGGAGGCTTGTCGTGGGCACTGCAAGGCACCATTAGCTGACTTCCCCCACAGGCCTTGCCTGCCCAGGCTTCTGCAGAGCAAGCAGATGGGGAGGGGAAACAGGTGCTCCTGTGGCCACCTGCTGTCCGTGACCTAGGCTGCTTACATGGGGACGCTGGCCGGGGGCAGCCAACAGCTTAGCCACACGGTGGCAGCAGAGAACCAACTGTTAACTGCTGCGCTCGACCCCAAAAAGGGGAGGACTGGGTGATTAGGGAGGGCCCCTGAAGTCTCTCTGAGTGTCCCAAGGCCGGATACAGGTCACGAGAACGCATGTTTCTGCTCGGGGCGGAGAACGTTTCATTTCAGTTTTGCTCTGCATGACTATCTTTAGACATGTTGACTGTGGGACCCAGGAACTATGCCATGATTTTCCACTACTGTTTATTCATTTCCGGGCTAATTCTGGTTAAAGGGAGTGCCTTAATGTTACCTCTGGCGCTGGATCCTGCGGCACTGGGTGTGGCCAGAGGTACTCTTTCCCTTCTCTGTCACCAGGTGCTCAGCCTCCAGGCGGAAGGGAGTCCAGCACTAGGAATGGGGGGAGGAGGGAGATGGGTATCCAGAATGAACTATGCTGGGATGGATGTAGCACAGAGTCTGTGACTCAAAAAATGGACCTGGCATTGCCTGGACCAGGACAGCTTCCTGGGGGAGATGCCACCTAAGCTGTAAGAGGAGGAAGGGAAAAGGGTGCATCTAGAAGGAGGAACAAGGAGTATGGGCTGGGTGGGGAGTAGAGGAAATTACAGCTCCTAGGGCCAGGATGAATTCTGTTGGGCTGAGCGCTCCTCTTTCCCCCACTCCCCTTACTCTTCAAAGCCCTGGGACCCAAGATTCATAGGTCCTCAGACCAAGGCCACCCTGTGAAGCTTCCCCTCCCTCCAGGGTCCAGGCCCACTTGGCTGAGGGGGCTGCCAGATTGAGGATGTCCCCCAAGGCCCCTCTTTAGCGTTGAGGGGGGACCAGTGTCAATGTAAGAAACATCTAAACCTGTAGAGAATTTTTATGAGTTTATTTGAGCCAAACTGACGACAATTGCCAGGAAGCAAAATCTCAACAGATTGAGAAAATGCTCCAGAGAATGGCAGTTTTGCACTTTATTTCATACATTACAATCAAAGAAAGAGGCATAGGAGAGTTATATGAAATTCACTGGTGGTAGATTAGGGATGTGGGAGAAAGCAAAGTAGGGAAATCTCTGGAATTGGATAAAAGTAAAATGGCCCTGGCCAATTTGGCTCAGTGGTTACAGTGTCAGCCTGAGGTTCAGTTCTGGCCAAGGGCACGTACCTCAGTTGGAGGCTTCATCCCCAGCCCTGGTCGGGGCACCTGCAGGAGGCAACCAGTGGATGTGTCTCTCTCACATCTCTTTCTCTCTCTCTTCTACTCTCGGAAAAATCAATGGAAAAAATATCCTCGGGTAAGGATTGAAAAAAAAAAAGCAACCAGGGTTAAGAAGCACTGATCCATGGGTTGCTTTAAAAACAAAGGGTGAAATGAAGAGACAAATACTTCTTTTACATCGGTGGGTATAGGATAGTTAACAATGAACATGTATGGTACACAGAGATGGTGTGGCAGGGACAGACAATGAGGGAGATTGTGCCCTGAGGGGTCTGAAAAAAGGGATTACTCAGACATTCCAAAGGTGCTATCTTGGATGCAAAAAGACAACAGACAGGTTCAGTTAAAGATTGACTTTTGTCAAAGAAGATACTGGCCTAGGATAGGACTACCACCCACCACGACTTGCTTTTAGTTAAGCTTTCATTTCAGACCATCGTATGTGGTTACTTTTGATCTTTGAGTTTTCAAGGCCACCATGCAGGCCTCCCCTGAGCTCGTCATGCCAGTTACCAGGGGGAGGCTACGGAGTCCAGGTGAGAGATGGGAAGAGCAGACCTAAGTTGCCTCCCTTCCCCCCACCCCCACCCCCCACATCCCAGCCCAGAGAGAGAGCTCTGGGACACCACCTAGTCAGAACTACATCCACATTTTACAGAGCGACAGACTTGAGGCCCAGCAAGGCTTAGAGCAGGTTAGAAGTGCCCATGCTTCCCCCATATCAGGGGGCGCTGAAGCAGAGCCAGAAAGGAAGGCCAGCTTGTGTTTTCCTGTCCCCATCCTACAGCTTCCATTACTGAGGCAGCGATGGGGGGACCAGAACTAGGGCTGGGCCTCCACATAAGCTGCCTCTCCCCTAACTCTACTGTTCAGTCAGCCCGGCTGGCCCCATCCTGTAACCCCTCCAGTTCAAAGGCGGGCAAGGCGCAAACATACCTTCCTCAGACACCATCCTATTGCTGACCGCCCAGGGCAAGCCCGGGAAGGATGACCCCTGCCCACAGAGGATCCTGTCACTCCTGGGGGCCCCTCACCTCTCTCCTCTGATCCCTCACACATTCCTGGTCTCCTCCCCACACGGTGGGTTCCCCAGACCCTGCCCCGGAACCAGCGCTGAGGGTGTGGCTGTAAGATGGCTCCAAGAGAAGAAATGAGTCAGGAGGTCCTCAAACCCTCACTGGCACTGGGGTGACCCCGCCCCCTCTGCCCTTCAGCCCAATTTAGGCCTACTTACCTTTCTCCGGGCCACTCCCCGCGCACCCACCCCCAGGCCATGGAGAGAACGGCTCCCAGGAGGAGTAGGACATGGGCCCAGGGTCCCGAGAGTCTGGTGGGCCGGGCCCAGCTCTCGACAGGCCCCGCCCGCCGCCCC